ACAAATTTCAAGGCGTTCTAAGTCAAAGGCAATATCTCAAAAACCGTGTCAAATTCGAACTTGACCGAGATCTTATCAATCTAAAGCATCACACCAAGTTTTATCAAAATCAGATAAAAACTGTAGTCTCTATAGTGCTCACAAGAAATGTTGACCGACGGACAGGGACGACGACAATATACGACCACATATTCATGTGGGCGTATAAAAAGTACTGGTAGGAAGTTATGATCAGATTAAACAAAGAATTTAGAAAGTTTTGTTAAATAAATTGAGCACTGGTAATTGTTTTCATTAGAGGGACCAAAACTGTTTGATGATGACATATTAGTTCATAAAGTTATTTATTTTCAAATCCAATATTTTTTCAGGTTTCATCACCTATTAAAATAGATACTAAATATATCATAGAATTGATCTCATCTTGTCCTACATGGTGTACAATACCAGCTTTGAGATTATTAGCAGTGTCTTTTTCACCTCCAGTCAAAAACTCTCCAGTAATATTTTATAGATTGAATCCTATAATTGTATCATCATTATATACACAACTAGAAATAAGACAATTATATATGAATATACAACAATTTATGTGTCAGGTAAGTGTATCTAGTTCTTTCAATTATCTGACTTTTAATGACTGTCACATAAAAAATTCAGGCGCAATCTGTTTCCTTTTTATACGCCCACATCTCTCTATGTGGACGTATATTGTCGGCACCCCGGTCCGTCCGTCAACATTTGCTTGTAAACGCTCTAAAAACTAGATTTTTTGATGGAATCAAATGAAATTCGGTATGTGTATACGTGTTCATAAAACGAAGATCAAGTTCAAATTTGAGCTATTTTCGACCGTTAGAAGCAGAGTTATTGCCAAAATCTTTAATATGCTATTACTCTCTTAGTTTTCAACTGATTTTGATGAAACTTAAAATGGATGTTATTGGACCTAAATCGAAAGGTTTGAGAAAGTTCACTTTACTTCTGATTAAATTTAAGGCTTTTTCAAGATTTAGGATTCTTACGTCAGTCTTGTGGAGTTATCGCCCTTTAACCTCTATACAGTAAGTGCTTCTATCAACATCAATTGCTCGTAAACACCCCGTCCGTCCGTCAACATTTGCTTGTAAACGCTCTAAAAACTAGATTTTTTGATGGAATCAAATGAAATTCGTTATGTGTATACATATTCATAAAACGAAGATCAAGTTTGAATTTGAGCTATTTTCGACCGTTAGAAGCAGAGTTATTGCCCTTGCCCCAAAATCTTGAGCAGAAGAGTAGGACGTAAAACTCCATTCATTTCATTTCAAAATCTTGAATATGCTATTACTCTCTTAGTTTTCAACAGATTTTGATGAAACTTAAATTGGATGTTTCGTTTATGCCATGATGGGCGTATATGGCTGTGGTCCACTATCTTTATACATGTAAACATCTGGTTCTCTTCAAACCTTTTCCGCAGTGGCTGAGTTACACGCTTGCTCGCTAACCTGAAGGTCCAGGGTTCAATCCCGGCATAGGTCGAGATAATACCTTCGGATTTTTAAACCCGGTTTCCCCTTGTCAGTGATGCTGGTGAGAGGGCTGGCTGACATGGAAAAAGCATCTAGTCGTTCAGATGGGACAGGCCCCGTGTGCTACAGGCTGTGCTCGTTAAAGATCCCTCGACATTTGCAAATCGAAAAAGAGCAGGCTAATGCCGCTGTCCTGGCAAAATTTCCCTCATCACACCCTGCATGGCGTTGCCCGTCTTCATTAGCCCACATGGTGCAGAAAAGTAGGACGTAAAACTCCATTCATTTCATTTCATTTCTTCAAACCTTTTATCTGATTAAATTTCTTCTTCTTTTTCAGGAAAATGAAGAAATTTTGGAAACTTGTGTAGATTGTTTACATGCTTTATTTAGTTTTTGTTCTACAGCATTTGAAAACTTAGGTGAGATAAAAATATTACCATTGTTTCTTCAACATGTCTGAAAATATAACATATTTATACCGCATCAGGCAGATTATTTCATAGCAAGGTTAAATGCATTAAAATTAATGTTTGGTCATTTTCAATCTCCATTTATTCTATATATAATCTTCTATTATTTAAGATAAAGAGATACTAAACCACCCCTGGAATACTGTATTAATAGAAACATTGATAGAGACTAATTATGGACATGGTTTAACAGATTCAATCATAGACTTATTTCATTTGGTAAGAATGATTATTTAGAGACCAGATATTTCTTATTGTCATCCAAATAAAAAAAAAAGCAAGTCAAGACAAACACTGATGAACTTTTTTTGTAATTCAAACTAAAATGAAAATAATAAACAAATGAAATAAAAATCTAATAAATTTGT